AATGACTCAAAGAAATTTGCGATGAAATAAAAATAGTTTCCTAACAACAAGATATAGTTTCCTTAAACTAGAAATTAAAACTAGAAACCTCCTAATTTCTAAAAAAAATAAACCCTCCTAACATCTTATCTTTAGCCATCCAAAAATAAAATTAAAAAATCCTAAAACTATTTTAAAATATTAAGAATATGTTTCTAATAGTGTTGAACTGCTGGGTTTCCTAAATCCTAATTTGATTATATTTCCTTCAATGTTTTGTTGTTTGTGTATCTAAGAATAAACAAGTTGAAGTAAACAAGTCCTGAAGAAGTAAACAAACTGAAAGTAAACAACTAAACGTAAACAGCTTTTCCACAGTTCTTCACAGTTATTATTCAAACTTTTATTATAAATAATAATTTGATATTGGGCTCCTGTAGAATTCGTATCAACTTGTTATATTTATAAACTTTTCGTCAAGATAATTTTATAAAATTTTCAAGAATAGATTGTTTTGCATTTTTTAAATAATTTTTTTTGGCAGTTAAACTCAGAGTTAGATACAAAAGGGGCCAAAGGTCCCCCTCCATAGAAGTTAAAACTATAATTTTCATGGGGATTCAACCCCCACCCCACCCCAGAATGTCAAAAAGGACAACGGACAATTCCTGTTTACGCCCCTGAATAGACGTTAATACCTACATTACCATACATTTCCGCCTTTTATTTTTAACTATCTGTATGTGAAGTGCCAGGCTGTGTGTCCGTGTAATAAAAAAGATTGAAAAAAAATTAAATTTATGTTGGCCTTTGTTACAGAGGGTTTATTGGTTTGGCAAGCTGTAGCCAACAAATATTTGACTTCGAGCAAAGCGCTTTATTTTATACTAGCTCGGGAACTGCAGCTCTGCTAAGGTTACTAAAAGTTACTCCCGCCGTTTACCCGCACTTGGACGATTTTACCGGGAATCTTTCGCTATTAAAGTCGAATCAACTTAGAATCTCAAAACTAAGCCAATAACAATTATTGTTTTTCAAGTTCATTAGACTATTAAAATTAAATATCGTAAGTCAGTCTTCCTATTCTATAGTTTAATGGATCCTGTGCACTACAAGTCTCCTTAACAACTTTAAGTAAATTCTCTTAATAATTCAGTTTTATTTTATTTTTTATTTGTCAAATATTTATGAATTCTTGTTTATTGTTGTTGAATGTTGATAGTAAACAAGTAGTTGTATATTTCATGTTTTTATATACCGGGAGTGTTTTCTTCAAATATATTTTCACTTCAGTCTTACATAATTTATAATTTTATTAATTTCCATATGAAAAGTCGAAGTCACCCGTCGTCGTCAGTCGCAAGAAACGGTGATTGTAATATTAGAATTGATAAACGAAACTATTTTTTCCAAAAACATAGATTTTTTTAAAATTTCTATTATGATCGGTTATATTAAAACAATGTTTAAGTGCTTTTACTGGCTTTTAAGCTCACGCTTTGACAGATGGCTTTAAACTGAAATAAAAATGACTGCTAGCTTATTCTGATAAATCCGAAACATACTTAGACCTAGTTATTTTTGCGTGAAGGGGGGCACGGATAGTTCTGTAAGTTTATAAATTATAATCTCGAAAATTTGATATATATAGTAATTTGATTTTTGTCTTCAAAATTCTAATTTTTTTGTTCGATTTTTTTTTCCTTTAATTCCACGGGCAACGCCGGGCACTTTAACTAGTGCGTGAATAAATTTGAAATCCTGTTGCCTTTATGTAACCTTATAGAATTCTTGTTTATATTTGTTTTTGTTTAGAAAAAGTTATTGAAATATTGATCCAGAGAATAGAGGCGGGGGAAACCATGGGATAGGGAGGGAATTCACAGTTGCAGGAAATAAACAAAGAAGTCGCAAAAAATACATCGACATTCGACAAACACAGAAACAAATACAGTGGTAAGTGATTATATCAACACAATCAAGACGACTTTTATATAATAGTTTTGATTGTTAACAAGCTTTTTTCGATTTAAAAGTAATTAAAGAGAAGCTTTTTAGGATTGAAAGCTTCTCTTGACTTTTATGTTTATGTGTATCCATGCTGTTTAACAGTTTGATATAAATCGGTGGATACCTGTTTGAACTACCGCCGTTTGAACTATTGTTCGTTTTAACTATTGCTCACTTGAATTACTGACCTCACGTCATATCCAGTAGTTTAAATCAACAAATTACTTTCTCATTTGAACTATTTTTCAGTAAATTCAGTTTTTAAATTTCGTTAATTTATGAAGTTTGGTCATACAATTAAAGATATATTTTAAACAATTACAAAGAAATATTTCAAATAAACATAAAAATAGTTTGAATGAACAAAAAAAATAGGTGAAATGAACAAAATATAGTTCAAATGAACAAAAATAATTTTTTTACGAAATGGTGTAATAACAAAAATATTTCAAATGAATACAAAATAGTTCAAATGAACACAAAAATAGTTCAAATGAACACAAAATAGTTCAAACGTGTAGTGTATTAACTATGGTTAGATTAGGCTAAGACAATTTCTGGGCCGAGCGCTGCGGCTAGTAGTTCAAATAAACATAAAATAAATTCAAATGAACCAAAAATAGTCAAAAAAAATGTTATTCCTGTAAACAATATTTACTGTTAAGCTAGAAAGGTTGATTAAAAAGATGATTTTGTAATTTACTAGGAAACAAAAATTCTAAAAATATTGTTTTCATAATAAACTTAGAGATCATTTCTTGGTACTGTAGATATAATCAAATATTTAATAGCAAAAACTTTATTTACCAGATTAACGATAAGTTAATAATTAAGCCACATTGACCAGTTTCAACAACAAATTATGAAAATGTTTCATTACTACTGTGATAAACAGAAAATATTAGAATAAAAACACGGCATTATAGCAGTACACTGAAGTGCATTTAATTTTGTTGCAAAGCAAAAAGCTTTACTAGTAAGTCATTTAATTACTATTTAAGTAAAGTTGGTCTGTTTACACTGCACAATTGCTGTGCCTCATGTTCATTGGACTATTTAAAGTTATAACTGAGTCTAAAAGTCCACTTCCTATTCCAGAGTTGTCTAGTTATCACTGTGTAAAACATCAATTTCAAGCTAAAATGATTTGTTTTGAAAACTACAAAATTAAATAATGATAAAAATTTCAAACTGAATTTCAAAAATAGGTCAAATAACAAAATTACGAAAACACGAGTATTTTGAAATACTTTAAAGGAAATATATTTCAACCATGGCCACATGGGTATGAAAAGAAATTATCATCATTCTGTCATCTCACCGAAGAACCCATATTTTAACGGAGACCCCAAGATTTTCATCAAAGACCCCAAACATTTTCATTAAAGACCTCAAACATTTTTCTTAAAGACCCCAAACATTTTCATTAAAGACCTCAAACATTTTTCTTAAAGACCCCAAACATTTTCATTAAAGACCCCAAACATTTCCATTGAAACCCCCAAACATTTGAATTAAAGACCCCAAACATTTTCATTAAAGACTCCAAACATTTAAATTAACGACCCAAAAATTATTTCATTGGAGACCCCAAGACTTTCATAAGAGCCCATCTTTTTCAACTGGGAAATCTTAGGGTCTCCGATACACATTATAAAAAAATAAAGATTTTCATCAAAGACCCCAAACATTTTCATTAAAGACCCCAAACATTTCCATTGAAAACCCCAAACATTTTCAATAAAGACCCCAAACATTTGCATTAAAAGCCCCAAACATTTTCCTTAAAGACCCCAAACATATTTCTTAAAGACCCCAAACATTTTCATTAAAGACCCCAAACATTTCCATTGAAAACCCCAAACATTTTCAGTAAAGACCCCAAACATTTGCCTTAAAAGCCCCAAACATTTTCTTTAAAGACCCCAAAAATATTCAGTAAAGACCCCAAACATTTCCATTAAAGACTTCAAAGATTTTTCTTAAAGACCCCAAACATTTTCATTAAAGACCCCAAACATTTCCATTGAAACCCCCAAACATTTGAATTAAAGACCCTTTATAAAACAATAACAAATACAGAAATAACACACAAATCTAGGAAATTATAAAACAATAACAAATACAGAAATAACACACAAATGTAGCAATTCACAACATAACAATCACAAGAAACAAAAGAAAAATGCAAACACAATAACATTTAATATTAAAGAATGGGCATCGAGTTTAAACTTTTGAAAACAAGAAGCGATCGTTTTTAAAACGATTACTTTAATGACAATTGAGCAATATCGTTTTTCATTCAAAACAAAAGCTAACACTTAAATACCAATTAGATAGTTTTTTTTAAAATTTTTTAAATAACAAATAAGCATTATAGCAAAATAAAAAATCTAAAACCTTAAAAAATAAACCTGCAGCTTACCCAATAAAATTATGAGTAGGAATAAAAAGAATCAATATCTTCCTCAAAACAGAAGAAATATTGGCACAATTGAGGAAATTTTATTAAAGATTCTGCCTCCGAACAAGAAACTTAAAAGAGATTAAACTAATGAATAATCCTGAGGCCGAATTAAAAGAATTTCATCCGCGGCTTAAATTTAAGACGCGGCTCAAATATGGTTGGCTCTGCTTAAATTTGTATTCAATTTTTAAACCGGCGCTCAATTAAAACCGGTTTTTTGGGCATTTGTGAAGCGGCTTATAAATACATTAAATTCGGCCACTGGTCCTTTGCAGCGGGATCCTAATCCGAATGACTCAAAATAAACCAAACTATTAAGAACAATTCATCTTTTTCTCATAACATGAATTTAATTAACCGCACTGTTATTTCAGTTACTGATTTAAAGCTGAGGATTGATTAATCCCGGGTTGGTGTGTTCAGAGCCCCTGCGAGGTACTCACTGCGTACACCTCTGAAATAATTTTCCTTTTATTATAGCCTTGGTTTACTCTTTCCAACTAAAAAAGAAGTGGTATCAATTTTAATTATATTTAAATCATAAAATTATAATAATTTATTAACTAATAAATATTTAGATAAATTACAGGAATAATTACACAATAGGAAGTTACACCAGGCCCCCAATTTCTTTGTTTACAAATAAGTGTACTGGCAAGTCGTCTCCTCTTTGATCTTTGAATTTATTCATGACATTCAATCGTCAACTAAATTTAACATGTCTGATTCTTGAATTAATAACCACAAAACTCTCCTAGACCTAGTCCAAAATGTGGTCTGCCTTTTTTTGCTGTCAATATTACCGGATATGTATATTAGAATTTCGTTCAGATTTCAATTTTGTTTAATAAAACCAAAATTGTGGAAATATGAACGAAATTCTTCACGTCTCGGGTAATTTTAAAAGCACAAAAAAGGCAGACTACATTTTAGAAATGGGATACTTTATGCTTATTATCTCTAGAATTGTACTTCTAAGTTAGGTTGACAACTAAATGCGGAAAATTGTATCAAAAATAAACACGACCTTTAAGTCTGCTTGCTATTGTCATATTCCGTGGGACACCCTGTATTTAGATTTCATAACATAAAGTTACAACATTGGATTTATTTGTAAACAAAAATATGAAAATTCCTCGTGTAATTTCCTTGATTACACATTATCTCTTGGATTGACAGAAAAGTGCTTAAAATAAAGGGGAGCACAAAATCTAACTAGAGAAGGACATTGTTTTGAGGTACATTTTTAAACATTTAAGGTTATTGGATTCCTAAAATGCTTTACAAGATCGAATCTGAGATGTTTAACTTTTTCAAAATTGTATGCTATTGCTCAATGAATTTGATTTTTTTTTTCATTATGCAAAATTCTTACTTTGACCAAGTAAATTAACAAAAAATATCATTCAGAACGATTAGTGAAGTGTTGATAAATCGTTTTTGTTAAAAACTTTGGCCATAAAACCTTGATTGTGAAAAGACGGATCCCAAAATGCCCATTCCTATTTTTATCCGTTTTCAACATTCAAGGTTCTATAGCTATCAAGCTATATAATTTTTTAAATGGAATTTTGCTAAATTATTACTCTGACAGAAGATAGATGCCCAAACAAAGCAAAATCGCTCGAAACATAACTATTCAAAAATAGCTCAGGCTGATATCTTCTGTAAAAGCAACATTTTCATAGTGTAAAACACGCAAATTTGTTAAAAGCAAACAATTTTTAATCTTTTCAGATGTTTTGTTTAGCCCCCTAAAAGCCAAAAAAACAGACAAACTCTACTGNGGTATAAGGTGGAAGGGATAGAGTTTATGTACATATTTTAATGTGATGCATTAGATCATATTAAGAATTAGTTTAATCAAAACAATAACAAATATTGTAAACAAAAGTCGGTATTTTCTAGGTAGGTTTAAACAGTTTTGTTTATTAATAAAACACGTTTATTTGCAATCAATAACCCGATCAATCAATCAATCAGCTAATCAATCAATCAATCAATCAATCCCGGAGTTTAATCAAAATCTGTTAGCATAAACCAAATATCATTTTGTAACATCAATTAATTTTAATAAACTTGGACAAGAGTTTTTCAAAAATCCATTTGAATAAATATTATTATGTAATGTCAATGAATCTTAATTACTTGGATTTAAAATCCATTTGAATAAATGCGAAAAAAATTAATTACACCTAAATCTTTAACATCCGACCGTACAGTAAGTGACAAGACATAAAATGTACGAAAGTGTAGAACACTGTTGGTACTTTCTAAATTTGGAAAACTTCGGAGGAGAAGAAATGGAGAAAAACAAGTGCATTTTCTTAAACTTAGTTAATAATTTTTTTTGAGTTTATTTGACATCTTTGTCTCCTAAAGGAACTGTTTTCACCATAAAGTAAATAAATAAGGCTTGTAGTAATTATTTTGTTTCTAGCATTCCTTAAATTTTTTTTTAATAATTGAACAAATATTTTTAAATTGTACAATTCAAATGTACACAATTAAGATTTACAGCGGAGCCCCGAATTAATGCGACTGAGTCAGGACTTATGCTCAATTTTCTATTTTAAGCCAAGATCAAAAGTTTTTAAAACTCTGAAAATTTTTCCTTCAAGTTTCTATCAGAAATTAAGCTTTCATCAACAAATGTATTTTGAAAGTTTTTTGGAAAAAACAAATTTTGAAAAATTATTTAGCTTTTAGCTTATTCTTCTTCTCTTTTCTAGGAAAGCTCTGTATTTTTTTCCGGAAACATTTTCGGTCAAGGCATTAATTTTGATTCAACCCTCCCTTTATATGCCTAAAATGTAATATTGTATGACTAAACTGTAAAGAGTAGCTCTTATTTTTTTTTCATTTCCACAGAGCTTTTAAAATTAATTCTTTCTAAACTTGATAAAAACTAAAATAATCCACAAGAGCTTTAGGAACTTTAATTACTAAGAAATAAAACAAATCAAGGTTGGTTATTATTTCCAGCTTTAACGGAATTTGAAAGCCTGCCAATGTAGTTTTATTTGGAAAACCATAAATATTGAGTTTTTTGTGTCCTATTTCAAGAGAATACAGCCACCTCCTAAGTTGACAGAAGGTTCAGAGAAAGTTGTTTTAAAAATATACAAATAGAAATTAATAAATTTCCTCATCCATTACTAAGTTAAACATTGTTACTGAAGTATACTCAATCCACCAAGGTTGTATAATGTATAATCAGGGGTTTGAAATACACTAAGTGACAAATATGGTAATTCTTTAAATCAAATCAAAATTTTGTTTTATATAAGCGATTCATTCCGTTCCTTTAATGTTAGGAATACATCGGAGCTTTTGGTATTAGGACTAATCAATTTGGTTAACTTTAACTCTGGTTGGTTACATTAGTACTAGACACGATTATATAATCAGAGACCACAATAGACACAACGTTTAAGATGTGACCAAGATAGACACGACATATAAGTCATGTCCAAGATAGACAGGACTAGATTTAACGACATTAATAGAATCCAGAAATCGTTTAGGAGAAATTTATCTGAGGGGATCGGGGTCGGGCTCTTTGCGTCGAGTTTTCATCCGGGCTCCGATTCGATAAATTCTGGACTTGATTGATCGATTGACCCTGGTCTTGATTGATCGATTGATCCTGGTCTTGATGGATCGGCGAATCAATCACGTGGTGAGAGGGCTATGGCCCGGTATAGACGGCCACCTGTCCCATATTATAATATTTAGAACACATTTTTAATAATTAATATCTAAGCTATTTTCTTTTCAAAGTAAAGAGTTACAGAAGAAGTTACAGAAGAAAAAAGAAAAAGAAAGAACTAAATAGACACTATAAAAAAATTGGAGAAGAGAAACCAAAACAAAAAATGTTAAGGCGAAAAAATAAATACTTTGCAAAAAGCCGAAGATTTTCAAGCTTAATAAGATTCAACTTAAAAATATTATTTTCCTGAAGAATATTTTCAATATTCCAGATCTTCATGATGTTATCTCTAGACACTGTCAGCAGTAGTTTCCTTTCCTCGTCATAATCCATCCAGCTTACCATACCCCTGGACATTATAGCTGATCAGTACAGTACAGTTATACAGTACAGTACAGTGCAGTGCATGCAGTCCAGTCCAGTACAGTACAGTACAGTACAATACAGTACAGTACAGTGCAATGCAGTGCAGTGCAGTACAGTCATAAAAATAACTGTTCACAAACTTGTTTTACGGGTTTAAAAATTAAAAGGACTTATTTTTTCGTATGTAAGAAAGTCCAAATTATAATAGATTTTTAACAGACAACTTATCAGCCGTTTTCGGTATTAAAAACAATTTAATGATATTTAAAGAGATAAGCTAGCTTTTAACCGACCTGGGACCAATTCTAATGAATAGCAATAGGTAGTTGAACTAAGTAAGTGTTCGCGACAAATGAAAGGGGGTATATGTTTACATCGAAAAATATTCGATGGTGATTGCTACAAATCTTACTTCTATCAGTTGCGTCTATAAGGAGAAAATTGTTAAAAAAGATTCTAAACGAAGAACGAAGCGTCTTTACAAATTCAGAAAGTTTCAATATTCGACTTGGATCATAAAAAAAAAATTTAATTCAAAACAAATCATTCAGATATAACAACCTATAATCATCGATTTTTTTTCGATGCATTCGTATATAGTTGCAGATACTTCATAATAATATTTATTTGTTTTATATACAGTAATGCACTTAAACACGATTTTGTGTCAGCTAGACGTCTCTGCCACGTGAAACCATGCAGAAACATCGAGAGCAGATACACCTGGCGGCCAACTAATCGTCGTTTAAATTGCATCATATATAAAACATATAAAGAATATTATGAACTATCAACTAGATATACGAATGCGCCGAAAAAAAATCGATGATTATAGATTGTAATATCTGAATGATTTGTTTAGAATCAAATTTATTTATTTCCGATCTGAGTCGTATGTTGCATCTTTCTGAATTTATATGGACGCTACGTTCTTCGATATGAGTCGTTTTTAACAATTTTCTCCTGATAGACGCAACAGATAGAAGTACGATTAGTAGCAAACACCATCGAATATTTTTCGACGTGACCCTATACCCCTTCGATTTTTAGCGAATATTCTCTTTAGTTGAATCAATTCTTTCGAACTTGAACCAGTACACAATAGAAGTAGTTTAACTACGTCTACGTAGTTCAACTAGCTCTAGATATTTATTTAAGTTCTCTGGTGTCCTAAATGACAGTTAAGCTCCCCTGGATAAATTGTGACTAACCTGGTTTCGTAGAAATTAGCCATTGATTTCTTCTCCACCGGTTGAACATTTATATAACAGTTCTCACACACCCGAACAGGGTATTCGTGGCCCCTGGATCACAGATATACAAATCAACAGGTTTTTTTTAATGATTGTCAATATTTCAGGGGTGAATATTTTCTCCAAAAATCATTTTTCCCCCCAGAATTAATGGGTTTTATTAGCTGAATTGGGGGAAATCAATGAAGTTTTGAGTTCATATTATCAAAAAGAATAAAAAAGTTCCTCTTCCCCCGCCTCCAAATCATCAAAAATCAGGGGGGGGGGTGGAGCAATTCCAAAAAAAACACCCCTGCAACATTGAAAGATAAATTATTAAAAAGAATTAAATCAATTATTTTCAGTGGGAATCAGCTATTTCAATAAAATTTTACAGAAAAACTTTATTTTTTTTTCATAGAAAATGTTTCAGATTTAAATCTGCCTTGCTGGGAGAATACTGCGTTTACTTGAACAATTATCACAGATAGCTTTTCCACATCTCCTAAATAGTATTGGGTTAAAGTACAAGCCTAGCCTGTACGCAAAAGAAAAATAGTCCACGAACCTGCAGTGATGTAAATAGTATTGGGTTAAAGTAAAAGCCTGTACGCAAAAGAAAAATAGTCCAAGAACCTGCAGTGATGTAAATAGTATTGGGTTAAAGTAAAAGCCTGTACGAAAAAGAAAAATAGTCCACGAACCTGCAGTGATGTAAATAGTATTGGTTTAAAGTACAAGCCTGTACGCAAAAGAAAAATAGTCCAAGAACCTGCAGTGATGTAAATAGTATTGGGTTAAAGTACAAGCCTGTACGCAAAAGAAAAATAGTCCACGAACCTGCAGTGATGTAAATAGTATTGGGTTAAAAAAGTACAAGCATGTACGCAAAAGAAAAATAGTCCAAGAACCTGCAGTGATGTTGTCTCAATCCTATCTGTTTCTGTTCATACATGCTCTTCATGTTCCAGAAGAAGGGTCTGAACAATTTGTAAATTATCAAAACACAAAATTCAAAATCTTGAAAAATTATAAATAGTTGATCAAGTCATAACTAAAAAACTACATAGTTAATAACTATGAAATAAAGAAACAAGAAATCCCGATAAAATTAAGAAATTGTGGATTGCTTAAAAATGTTGAATAATTAAGAAAAATAACAAACTAGAATTTATGAAATTTAAACTATCTTGAAAAACTTTGAAAAAATATTTAGACTAAACGTTGACCTTTTAGCTCGAAGAAAAGTATGAGATTGAATTTTTTAAAATAAAAAATAAAAAGTAAGATTCAATAATAATCTTTGAATAAAACAAAATTTGGTTCCGATTTATTAAGACAAAGATGAGAGTTTATAAGCATTGCTAATACTTAATATTAAAATAATTTTCTTTAACCTAAAAATGTTTTAAAAGATGAAACCTCGCCACATATCATAATTTTCTAATTCCATATATCTTTGCATCCTGATTCCTGATAAACCTTAGATATTACAAACTTTAAATTCTGTTTGATCAATAAGTTCAAATGGGAAACATGAAACGTATTCAACTTCAGGTTGCAGAGATGTAGAAAATTTACATTTTGAAGCGAGTTTTTAGTTACAGATGACATTATCATCAAAAGGTATCAATAATGCATTAAGAATGATGGCAATAAAACAATGGTAAGGATCCGGATCCGGATTCGTTGGATCCGCAAGATTTTGGCTTCCTGGATCCAAATCAGGATCCGCAAAAATATACAGATCCACGTATCAGGATCCAAGGGGCATAATATCAGCCAAAAACAGCAAAGAAAAACTTTTTTTACTCTCAAACCCCAAATCTGAACTATTGAAAAAAGAGAGATTCCTGATTTCTGAATGGGTCATCAAGTTTTAGAATGAAAATAAGTAAAAAAAAAATCTGGCAAAAAATCAGTAAATCTTGAAGAAATGACCTAGATCGGGATTCATTTTTTCCAGTGTGGATCCCGGATCCGCATCAAAATCAAATGGATCCAAAGCACTGCAATAAACCATATCAAATTGTATTAATAATAATAATAATAATACTGCCACCTATTGCAGAGTTGACAGTTGAAAAAATCAGTAAATCTTGAAGAAATGACCTAGATCGGGATTCATTTTTTCCCGTGTGGATCCCGGATCCGCATCAAAATCAAATGGATCCAAAGCACTGCAATAAACCATATCAAATTGTATTTATAATAATAATAATAATACTGCCACCTATTGCAGAGTTGACAGTTGTCAGATTCAGCCCAGTCAGGAGTCTCAAGTCTAAAATTTTATATTTTATGAAACTTATCATTTATGTTCACTTCACAGTGAATATTTTAGTGTTATAAATAATTATAATCTATTTTCGACTCAATATTGAGTTCCTTTTCAGATTATTTTCAATGTTCACCATCTTCACAGAATTTTGCCTGTTTTTTGTTTTTATTTCTGCGCGGATTCTTTTTCTATATTAACAATCTATTTTGAAACTATTATGTATTTTATCATTCATACTCACTTTATTATTGACGTGCTATAAATCATCGTTCTAAAATGTCAATTCTAAAAAAAATTTGGGACATTTCCAAAGTATTTTTTATTTACATTAAAACAAAGTTTATATTAACTTTATACTTACTTTATAAACTCGGGACAAAATATAATCTATGAAACATATTAGTATTAAAAATAGTTATTCCAATTCTTATTATTCTTCTGTTCAAATTCTTTCCAATCTCTTTGGAATGTTTATTCCAAAAATATCAGGGGTGGATATTCTCTTAAAATCATTCCTCCACTTTGAAAATTTTTTTCTCCCCTGTTGTCAGGCATGTTTGCGCGAAGCGGAAAGTTTTTATTCGTTTTATTGAGGAAAATACAGAAGGCCTTAGATGTCCAATTTTATTTCTTATTTCACCAACCTCGGGGTAAATCTTGAAAATAGATACTCCTGCAAATAAATTTTAATTTAAAAAAAATAAGTACCAACCTTTGTAAAGACATGTCCCAGCAAACGAGTTTCCCATCCTCGCCAGAAGATAGCAATCTAAAAAAAGGTAAAAACATTTCTGAAAAATAATTTGAACAAAACTTTATATTTATTTGATTTATCAAATTTATTTTAGCTAAGAAGATTTTTATCTTCTAGACTAGCTGAAGTGACCGGCGTTGCCCCTAACAAAAAAAATGGTGAAAAAAGTTGGTTTTTGAAAAAAATTTAATTTTTTAGCCTATGCTCCCCAAAGTACCCATGGGTTTCCTCAAAATATGTCAGCCCATTTGGTCCAGCCGTTTGGACAGCTATTGCTAACATAAATATATATACAAATATTATAACTAAATAGAAAAATTAATAAATAAATAAATAAATGCTATGAACCCTCCTTACTCCCTCCTTAAAATGTTTACCTATATCCCACACAAACACTGTACTGTCAAAGCTTCCTGAAACAAAAGTAAATTATTTTTATGAAAAAGAATTTCTGAAGTTTTAAAATTCCTTCCAAAAACCTAAATATTTAGTTTTTATCTAAAATCAAAAATTTATTTGAATAAAAATACCAAGAAAATATTTTTTTTTCTAACACCTCAAGCTGTGGACTCAGAGCTGAAAACTTTAAAATGAGATATCCTTAATCCGAATACTTAATCTGAGTATCCAATGGACACATTATTAATTTTCTTCTTAAACCGTTCTTTCTTAGGCATAGTAGAGAAAAATCAAAAACCGTTTATTTAATTTAAAGAGTCCCTTCCGTTTCTGTATATGATCCTAAATGGCGCGCAAAATTTCAAATTTATCGGGTTCATATACGGGACTCTGATTGGTTGAATTTTATACACTTTTCAGGATACAAGTACAAGATTAGGTCAGTCTCGATATTAAGAAAAAGAGAGGATCAAGCATTTAATCTCAATATCCACCATTCTAAAGTTTTCAGCTCTGATTAAATTAATTAGTACTAATAATGTTGTTGTTACACCTGAATACAGCCAGTTCTTAGTCCCATCCCAGGCAAGACAACGGATACTTCCTGCCTGACCCTACATTATCAATCAATCAATCAATCAATCAATCAATCAATCAATCAATCAATCAATCAATCAATCAACTAACCTGTCACTCAATCATCAATTCATTAATCAATCAATCAGACAATTCATAATTGATTATAATAACCATAAATCCAAATCTCACAATCCAACCAACCAATCAATTCATTAATGATTTACTAACTTACATCGAGCAATAAATAAATCTTTAATTAAACAGTTTACTCAATACCATCCAGGATTTTAATAGTTGATTACAGAAGAGAAAACACAAAAAAAAGGCGAAAATATCCAATCAAAACATTGAAAACAAACAATTGAAATCAACCAAACAATTTATTTAACAACCACACACATCAAGTAAGTAATTAATTTAAAAATCTAAACTCCTTGACCCATAGCTCTACTATCAACCGAACTCAAACCATAATCAAACAAACTAAAAAATCAACCAAAAAATGAACAACTCAATGATCAACCAAACAACTGAAATATCAACTAATCTAATAACCTACTAAAAAGACGAAGTAATCATCAAAAGTAAAGTTTAACTTTTTATAAATATAAAAATTATGTAACCTTGAGAGATGTGATGAATTTAACTCCTGAAGTTTCTAGTTTACAAACTGTAATACTACCACTGTAGTCGCCTAGATGTTTACAATAATTAAAAACCTATTGTCGCTAGTTTTTGAGCAGCAACTTGATTTTCCGTTCATTAGGAAGGTTTAAAAAATATCTCTTTAGTTAACACTAAAAATACGTATTTTGAGAGGAATAAGATTTTTTTTCTATGCTTAGGTTGAAATTTTGCCCCTTAATGCTCCAGAAATCTAACATTTTACGGATCCTATGCATGTCATTAAATTTTTTAAACGTAATTTTATTTTTCAAAAACGTATTCTTAACTAAAAATCATGTTGCTTTCATTATTTTTAGCATTTTGAGGACATTAATTAGATGTTAGAATGTTTTTCGATACAATAACCCAACTTTTTTAAAAAATTATAAACTAGTTTTTTAATATTTGTTTATATACCTACGAAATCATATTATAAAATAGTTTTAATATTTGTTTATATACCTCATATATAAAATAGTTTTAATATTTGTTTATATATCTACGAAAGCATATAATAAAATAGTTTTAATATTTGTTTATATACCTACGAAAGCATATAATAAAATAGTTTTAATATTTGTTTATATACCTACGAAAGCATATTATAAAATAGTTTTAATATTTGTTAATATAGCTACGAAAGCATATTATAAAATTGTTTTAATATTTGTTTATATACCTACGAAATCATATATAAAATAGTTTTAATATTTGTTTATATATCTACGAAAGCATATAATAAAAATAGTATTAATATTTGTTTATATACCTACAAAAGCATATAATAAAATAGTTTTAATATTTGTTTATATACCTAAGAAAGCATATTATAAAATAGTTTTAATATTTGTTTATATGCCTACGAAAGCATATAATAAAATAGTTTTAATATTTGTTTATATACCTACGAAAGCATATTTGGCATCAGTATCGTAAGCTAAAGAAGTGCACCAGGCATTGCACTGATATCCTCCAAGTCTCTTCCCTAAAGTACAGGAGTTAACATTTAAGCTCTCCTTGGGAGGAAATTATTTTTGATGACATGGGAGAAATGAATGAAAGAAGTTGAACTGGTTATTTACTCCCCGTCTTTTTTACAAAATTTTTTTTACCGAATACGTTCCTCACATATCAGGATAAAAAACTTTTTGAAAAGATATGAGGTAATGATATTTCAAGTAAACCCCTGCATCTGCAATGCAATATGCATTAACGCATGTCAAAACTGATTCAACGGCTTAAAAAAATGAAAAATTTTTTAGGAAGATTTTTTAATTATTCATTTATCCTCCTTTGTCCCTTAAACGATTGTAATTATTTTAAAAACATCATTTTTATGAGTTTGAGTTTAAAAAAAATTAACCGGAAAAAAGTATAAAAGTTCCTGTAAAATATATATTTACCTGTAACAGTGCAGTGGAAGTGAAAGTATTTATCCCTGAGTAAAGTTTCATTATTCAAAGTTATGATTTAGTTTTTCTGTTATAATTTTTTATCTCTAGATTTGAAAAGAAAGGCCAAAAGTTTCTGATTTTAGAAAGGTTAAATTAACGCAATGGAAACAATTTGCTATCTATTTAATATATTATGCTTTCCTAATAGCACGAATGCTACCAGGTATCCAACCCTCCATACTCCGCATTCTTTCAGAGTAAATGGATCACGAAGTTAGCATGACATGTGCAATGATATTATAATTTTATTATTTGTTGATGAAACCCTGCCTGCCCCCGGACAGTAGCCAACTATTCTCCCGGTCAACCAGTATCCGACAAACTCGCGCATTCTGGTGCGCGTTGTAAACACGTACACTCTCCATCCTGAATAGACGGATTTGTTGAGAAATGATTGCGCACGCATAAAGGGACTGTAAGCGTAATTTCAAAGGACCCATAATTCAAAGATGACAATGTCCGATTTACAACGGTACCCTTGAAACCTTCATCTGATAGAAAATGTGTAAGATATCGTACTTTCTCTATCTTGAAGTGTTCATTTCTGCGAGTTTCTTCATTGCGTCTTAAAAAAAAAGAAATGCGCAAGTCACTTTTGCTTAGAACCCGCTAATGAAAATAAACAGTTTGAAGAAATAAACACATAAATATCTAATTCATACTTGTTCTGAAAAAGTCTTCAAGGGTACCGTTGTATATCGGGCATTGCCATTTTTGCATGGAGGGCACTTTAAATTACGCGTACAGTCCCTTTAAAACAAAATCAATTATTCAATCAAACGAACAATAACAAGATCTGAAAGGGAACAAGATATGTGCTAGTATGTGATATTAAAGACCGCCAATGGAATTAATCACACAAAAGAGTGAATAAAAACCCACAATGCCTACAATAGCTCTAAAAATTAAATTTCTTTTTTTATTTATGAACAATAGCAAAACTTAATAATAAAGAATATAAAACATGATAAATAATAAATTAATGATAAATAATGGTGTCGAGAGCCAAAAAAAATAAAAAAGGCATGAGTGAATTTTTTTGAGAATTACATCCCTGGGAGTGATTTACAAGGTCTAGGGGAAAAAATGAAAAATTGGACATGAAAAAGCAAGTTTACCCCCCCCCCCTTTTTTAAAACTTTTAACCCAAAAATTTATTCATTTTCCCCAATTCAAAAAAAAATACCTAACTTTTGGAGGGGAAAATGACTTTCAACAGAGTGTAAGGGGGGGATTAATTTTTCAGAGAATATACACCCCTGAAATACCTAAATGACAAACCTGTTATAATCTGGAGAAAGTGTAAATTCCTCAATACTACCAGTATCCAAACCAACAAACAAATTCCTTTAACAACAGATATTACTTGTTTAATTTATTAATATTATATATTTTGGACTCATAATTGATTTAATTTGTTAACCATTAAAAATCTAAAAAAATCTTGTTAGGATATTAACAAACAAAATCACGAATTGAAGCAAACAAAACGCGTATTGATGCAACAAAACACGTATTGATGCAACACACGTATTGATGCAAACAAAACGCGTATTGATGCAACAAAATCACATATTGATGCAAAGAAAAATCACGTATTGATATTTATAAACAAAATTATGTAACGATATTAACAAAGAAAATCACGTATTGTTATTAACAAACAAAATCATGTATTTAACAAACAAAATCACGTATTCATATTAGCAAACATAATCACGTATTGTGATTTACAAACAAAATCTCGTATTGATATTAACAAATGAGAAATTAATTAGTAAAAAAATAAATACAAAAACAAAAATTAATGGGCTAGTTTAAAGAGTGGAGGACCCAAAGGTTCACAAACTAAAAAAAATTGTTTTGCGATTTATAATAAAATATACATTTGTGTATGTTAATATTTTCATCATACTGTACCAAGATATTATAACAAATTTCTACATTTCGACACATATTTTTATTAACGAAATGTTTGACTATAAACTAATACAGTATTTATCATTTTTATACTCAATTTAACCCCCCCCCCCCCCTCCCCTCCACCCCATAGTGGGTTATTTTTGGGGGACATGGGGGGTTGACTGGTTTTTGTCACAATATTCCTCTTAAAATGCATTTGTCTTGTGTTTCATGGTGAGAATGGACAAAATGAATATATTCTGATAATCTTTTCATTTACAAGCATTGTATGATTTGTAGCTGACATTGATTTATAATGATTTTAATTTATAATTACTTTTCCCGTTCATATATTTATCCTTGATTGGATCCTCTAATCCCGCAATATATTTAGATGGCGTCTTTGTTACAAGGAGCTATTTCGGATGAAAAACATATATTTGATAGCAAAAGTACAAGAAAGCACAGGAGTTTCATGATAATCTAAATATATAAATAGAGTCTAACAACCAAATGGAAAAGATTTAGATGCTCCAGCAGCACCCCAAACTTGATGGTAAACCTGGTTTCATGTGTATAATGAAGAGCTGTTGCTGCAGCTCCCATATAGTGACAGATACTTGGCCAGTACTGTCCGCTGTCACGCAGCTGCCATACGCGCACAGATCTGTCAGCGCTCACAGATATCACCCCGTTCTCTCCTATACACAGCCAGGTTATACAAAAGAGGTAAAGAATGAAGAATCATCAAGTGACAGTCATTTATTTTGGCATTATTCGCAGAACATCATAATTCTTATGTGGTCAATTTCGTAAGTTGAACAAAAAACATATTTGAATAGTTTACTCCCTTTGTGTGTATTACAAAAGTTATGTATAGTGAGGAAGATCTAAATAGCTTTTAAATGTAAACCTGCAGAAATAAATATAATTTTGTTTATGGAATTATTGATTTTTTCCTAATACATTTTTTTTGATAATTTATGCTAGCTGAAGTGCCCGGCGTTGCCCAAGGATTTATTTACACCCGGGGTACTCAAAGGTTCCCAAAAAAAATGTCAGCCCATTCGGTCCAGCCGTTTGGCAAGCTATAGTTGACATATAAATATATATTCATACATTGATTACTAATGATAATGTTTAATGATTACTAATAAAAAATTTAAATTAGAAAGATTTATCATGAGAAAAACTGTATTAAATATAGGAAAGTATAAAAATGGTTTACATTAACAATATATTCTCCCTGAGGTTTCGACAGTAATCTTGGAAAATAAATACCCCTATAAATTAGTGCCTGGAATGATAATAGCAGCGTGTATTTCATTGGTTGACCCCTCCAGCTTGTGGAGCAGAACCGGTTTAGGTTCATCCATATTCAAATCTGGAACAAGAAAATTTTTATCCTTAAGCTTTAAATCGTGTAGATTTCCAAACACAACTTATTATGTTTTAAAAGCCTTGCTCTGGTATAATTTAGGTGTAAATTTGTAAAATTAATAAGACCTACATGGTTGCAAAGTCGTAACAGTTATTGGTAATTTCCTAATATACGATTTTTGGATCTTAAATTTAAGACATGGATATAATTGACAATGTGGCCGCCCCCTAGTCTGTCCTAGCCGCAGCGCTCGGCCCCCTAGCCTGTCCTAGCCGCAGCACTCGGCCCAGAAAGTGTCTTAAGTCTAACCTAACCCGAAATATATAACAATTTTATTGAAAATTGAAAGCTGGTCATGTACAAAATTGATAGGAGGGGGGGG